ACCATTCACTACTTTATTGGACTGTGTAGTTTTAGATTTTTAATTTTTTTTATTTCTTGCACTTTACTTACATTGTTCCGGACAATCTTTTGAGAAATGCATATTCCTGGAATCGGAACATCTAATCCTTAGTAGGGATTGTGTCACTTTTGAGAAGAGCTTCTCTGCTCTAACAATTATGAGTACATTTCCTGGTTTCTTTCAGATTCAAGATCTTACAGAGAGCACTATATGTTGTTCCTTCTTGTTTCATATACCTATATGCTGGTGAAGATACTGTGAATTTAGGTGGGAATTGCACTGCCTTGTGCCAGATATTGTGAGCTTTAGATGAAAGCTCCTGTTTTGTGAGTGCATTTCCCTGTATTTCTGCATTTAATTATGTTACTACACTATTGGAGTTCCCTTTGTCTCTTTTATTTTATCATTTTCTTCATAATCTGCACTGATAATTATTTGTCTTTTAGACAATGTTGATATCCATTAATTGGGATTATTCCACTGCATAATGTCACTACCAGAGCTTGTATGAAGCTCTATATCACGTGAGTGGGCACTTAAACATCCTGTTGTGTATTCACTATTTTGCAACATGCCATACTATTTGTCTCCTCTCTCTGTGTTTTTTAAATGCACCCATTGAGGAAGACCCAAGACACATAGGAATCAAGGCCGACCGAAGAAAACGTCTTGCCTTTTATCACTGATCATATGTATTCACTATTTAATATGCTCAATGTGGTTTTGCTTCTGTAAGTTTGTCTCATGTCAAACCACCCAATCTTCTAATTCTAATTTTTTTCCTAATTTTTTTCACAAACCACTTTTTTTTTAAAATATTATTTCCCTTCTTAACTGTGCAATTTTATTTGTCTCACACCTAGTTGAACTAATGCTTGTCTGAATATCAAGATATATGTATACCAAGTGATAAATGATAAATGATTGACATACTCTACATCTTTCCATTATGCACAGAAATGACAAATGGACTGAAAGTCCAGAGGACACAACAAGGTCCCTTTCAAATATAGAGAATAAAATAGAAACACAATTTTATTTAGAAATCATTAATCTAAAGACATAAGTACCTCACATAGAAGACAAGGCACAAAACAGCCATAGAAAGATCCTAACAGCTCAGCAGATATCGGGGGTAGAACTATAGTGTTCAAATGAGCTTATTCAAAGGAGTGGGTTTGGAAGGCAGATAAAATGGTAAACTTCAAGAGCCAGCCTGATATACCATGTAAACTGGGGGAACACAGGCTAATAGGCTAATGTGGAAGAAAATGTCCAAGATTTATGGGATGTATCATGATCATGCCCCCTAAATGTAGCCTAAAGACATCTATGTACTTCAATGGAAGTACCCCAAATGGTATGCTTGTATTGAAAAGGATAGCCCCAACAGGACTAACAGGTTTGCTACATTGGTGGGATAACATCAGTGTAACCACCTACAAAAAAGTATTGCAAACAAGTCCTTATCTGAATATTAAAATGAAAAGATAGCTAAACCTTCATAAAAGCTAATGTGAAATTGAATCGACTTCGAGGTCGCCATCTAAAAAAGTTAAGCAAAAGAAAGCTGTAGCATATCTATTTATATAGACCCAATCATGTGAAGCCTAACCGGCCCGTCCTGCTCCCATTGGTTATCCCCAAAGTAACATCATCCTTCACAAGGGCTACCCTCTCAAAACTATCTGTGACATCCCTTACACAGCTAACACCCATGTGAAAACAAAAGTGAAGTGTGAATAAAAAACAAAGAAGCCTGATGCGCATTTCAGCGCTGCTACAGCGTCTTCATCTGGGGCATACAATCTGATCGCCTTACTGTGCAGTCTTATAAAGAGAGACTGGGGAGTGGGCTCGTGCCCAAAGTGACCAATATGTCGTTGGGGGGGTGTATTCCTCCCCTGGCAGCCAATGGGGTCAGGGGGTGTGCGTAGTTCATTTGTGCATTTGCTTCATCCCAAGGGCATTCAGCATCTCCCATTCCATCAGCGTGAAAACGTTAGGGGGTGTGTGTTACTCCATTGGCAACTAATGGTGTCAGGAGGTACGTAACTCCCCTCTTATTCCATCATAATGATGGATCCCCACACTCATATGTAATGCGCCCACATTAGCGAAATATCATTCCTTATATTAGTGATACATAGCGCACCTCTCTCACTGATAAGGAAATCTGAGAAGGGTGTAGGGGGCGTGTGAGTGGGCCTTTCTAACTTCAGAAATGTCCATATTACCCCTTTGTATGATGAAAAAAGTTATCCGATCATACGTCAATCATCGGTACTTGTATTAGTAATATACAGTGCACCTCTCTCAATGATAAAAAGATCTGGGAGGAGTGTAAGGGACTTGTGAATGGACGTTTCTAATGACAGACATCCACATTAACCCTTTGTATGATGAAAAAGATGATCAGATCATACATCAATCATCAATCTTTGTATTGATAATATCTCGCACACCTCTCTCGGTAATAAAGAAATCCGAGAGGGGTGTAGGGAGCGTGTGAATGGGAGTTTCGAACTACAGATGCGTCCACGTTAACCCTTTTTATATGATGAAAAATATTATCAAAAACTTACATGGTTAAGCCATAATCACAATCAATTATTGGATCGAATAAAATTAATATATATCTCTGAGCGATCATATGTACGAGAAGTCCCTCAGAAGTGTGAAAAATAGAAAAAAGGAATTGTGTAACACACTGGAACAGTTCAGCAGTGGTTTGCCCTCTTACATGGGTCCTGCTGGCCCATGGACTTTAACATCCACCTCCTGCAGAGCTGTGCTCATTGATACAGTTTGAGGATTTATGCAAGACCGTCCTCTACACTATGTGTCAAAACAGACTCCCTACTCACCTGTCACCCTGAATCCACACTTTCACATTATACAAGACAATGGGTAAGGCATGTGTTTAATGCAAGAATAGAGACAAAAAAAACCTTTACCTTATACATACATGTTTCATCTCACCTAGATTGCAGGAAACAAGGTATTACCAAACCTATCATTTCTCCACCATATCATTCATGGGATCCCCAACAGCTTTTATGGGCGATGCAGGAAAAGTTAAGGTACATACACCGATATCTGGTGGGAATTACTGTGACAGATCCATCTGTAAGACTAGTGTGGCTTATTCGTCTAGTTTGCCTCCTTTCGCGGAATTGCCTGTCCGTATGCCCCTATTCATCTTTTTGGACTTATAACCGAATGAAACTACCGAACGGACGGCCACCCAGAAAAGAAGTGTGCTGCTGGTTAACCTCTTGGCCTCAATTAGAGCATTGTGATTAACCGCAGACACCTCTTAATTATAACCGAATTCAGGGTGGTCGTGGTTCGTATGCCGACCACGAGGCGGCGGCCATTTTAAAACACGCGAAAGACCAGCGGTGTTCGGCGCAGATTCTATGGAACTAAAAACGGACAGCCATCCCATGGAGTCAATCGCATACCGAAAGACCTGTAAAAGACTTTGACTCCATGGCGATTGAACTGTGTGTATGGGATCTGAGCGCTATTCGGTAGGAATATGCACTCAGATCCAGACTATCTGGGGATACGTTACACGAATGTTATATATTCGGTATTTGTATAATTACTAATTTTTATGTGTTTTTTATGTTTCATTTAAAATGGCGATTTGCCTCTGTCCTGGGAGATAATTGAATTACTTCTCAATTATCTCCAGGGCAGAGGGGAGGAAACCAGGATGCATTGTGGGAATATTCTGTGCCTGTATGTCCTAAAGTGCTACATAAATAAAGGAAAAGAGACAGCGCCAGACAACCTGTAAGGCAGCAACCCAACAAGGGAATCCCCCCAAAACCCTAAAATACAGGATAAAAGCAAAATATAAAAGGAGGGCTGCGCCAGAATAAACAGTGTCCAGTATCAATAGTTATTGAAGATAAAAAGTCCGACCTAAAAAGGTATCCTCTCTGTCGTCTTTAGGTACAGGAACGCGATCTTCAGGTAATATATAAAAGATAAAAGGAGAGAACAAACGATGGTGCAGAATGTACGGTTCAAATGAAGTAAAAATTGATTAATGATAACGAACTCACAATTTCCAGAGCTTCTGTCCAGCTCTAGGGTAAAGCGCACACAGCGGTATAATCCCCGCTTATGGGATTTATGATGGGTTCGTCAGGGTATCCAAAACTCAAAGGAAACAGAAACAGCCAAATAGTGCTCTCTGTATAACTGTATATTATAAAAGAGAATAAAAAAAACGTACTTACAAGTACAGAGCAGACCAACTGCTCTTTGATGTCAGCGCTGGTGGAATAATCCCCACCTATGGATTTCTTTGGTTGTCAGGAACTTGTAGAGATAGTATTAAAATCGGAATAGAGTGTATATAAAATATAACAATGAACTAAAACGATAAATAGCCAGGGTACATGTATAAATAAAAGTAGTTGGGACTATCAGTTAACCAAAAACTTTAATATTTATTATACAAAATTAAATTTCCATAACGCGTTTCGTCTAACAGACTTTATCAAAATATTCCATTTGATAAAGTCTGTTAGACGAAACGCGTTATGGAAATTTAATTTTGTATAATAAATATTAAAGTTTTTGGTTAACTGATAGTCCCAACTACTTTTATTTATACATG